TGGCTGTGCTGAATTGTTGTTGTTTGTCTTGTTTCTAAAAGACAATAAAGTAATGTTTAAAAAATAAAAAATAAAATTTGATCAAATATTCGACTCGACACCCAAAGTAAATTTCATACATATGACGTCGAAGTTATACAAAAATAAGAAAATGTAAAAAAAAAAGAAAAAAAAGAAGCTAAGTTAGTTTATGTTCACGTAATGAAAGTCAGAGTAAGTTAGGGTTCATACTGTATCTCTGTCTCCACCTCTACCTCCATTCCCCAATGAGTGCCAATGAAAACCCTTTTTATTGATTATTTCTTTATGACTTATTTCTTTTTACATCTCTCTTATGTAATGCATTTGTTTTATTGCTATGTTTAATTATCTCTACTATTTATTAAGGAGTTATCGTAAATTTTTGGAACAAATTATAGGAATTACAGTGTATTCTGATGGGAAGATTTGAACAAACACCAATATTTTAACATACAATTCCCATATGAGGTTCTGCTGTACCTGTGTGTGTAAAGTCAAAACCTAGCAGATAAACTAATAAACCAAAATCAGTTTTCCATCTCTTTGAGTTATAGATGTACATTTCAACATTAGATTTAAAAAGCCCTGACATTATTCTGTTTCCTGATTTATTGTCAAAGTCCATTAATTCTCTCAATAACCTGAATATTTAAAAATCATGTTGAAATCAGCAAGAGTTAGTGAAGTAAAGTAAGTAAGTCTATTCCAGATGAATGGAAGAAACTACATTTAATTGTTTGCTCTCTCTAAACAACATGTTGAAAATATTTTTTAAACGTGGAAAAAAGGAGGGATTGTGAAAATATTTGTTTTGATAAAACAAGATAAAAAGTCTGAATGGCATCTTTTGAAGCTGAAAGCTGAGTGGAGCTGAAGCTCCACGTCCAGAGTGAGAAAACATCTGCACCCAGCAGCCCCAAAGCCCCCGGATCACAAAGCCTCATCTCTACTGAACAAAGATGTTGTCACGTCTGGGGGAATGTCTGGTGTCTCGTCTTGATTACCTAT